GCATGTATATTTGCCAAAGAGAGGGGGAGAGAAGAAACCACCCTCCATGTGGAAGTCATGCCACAATCTCTTCTCTATTTCTCCTGTCAAGATTTGGGGCAAGCATACACATTTAGACCATGGAGCCAGCTCATGGAGGACTTTTAAAATCACATGCCAGGGGTCCGGCAGGTGGTATAGTAGTTAAGGTACTGGATTCTTAGCCACTATGTCCGACATGTCCATCCATGGTTCAAGTCCCAGATGTGGTGGCTTGAAAATACACCAGGCATGGGTATGTTCATGCCCAAAATCCCGCAGGAGAATGGAAGAGAAGGGATTGCAGCATGGTCATCTCCCCTAGGGAGTGATTTCTCTCTTTCCATCTCTCTGTCTCTCTCTAGCAAGCACACATGCCCTGTGAGGAAAAAAAAAATTGATATGCCAGCCCTGTGGAAGTCCATAGGTTCCCCAGGTTCCTATACCTGCTCACTACCCTTGCATAGACAGACTTTCTCAAACAACAAAATATGCCCAAACCCTGTAGAAGAAATGTACTTTATGAAATAAGGTAGTCTGTGTCAGCACTGAAATATGCCTTAAAGCTTAGCCATCCAAATTCAGTTCTGAAACTTTGATAAGAAAACACCTTATTTATACTTCTGCATTGGCCCAAGTAGCAAAAAGTAAATAATCTAGACAAATGTCTGATTTTTTTTTTTTCGTTATTCTTAAGTACTTTTTGCCGACTTGGTAAACCAATAAATTGTGGCCATTTGTCTCCAGCACTGGCCTGCGTTCCTTTTCTCTCCTTCCTCTCTTGCCCTCATCCAGAGACACACCCCTCCCCTGCCATCATGGCCTTTCTTTTTCAGCTTCTTGTCTTTCCTCTGACTACTCACTCATGGACAGACCACCTCCTAGACCTCCTCTTGTTCTGCCAAACCATTCTGTCTCCAAGATTCAATCTCTCTGAAGGAGGGTTTGGTTTAATTGGGCTGACCTCTTCTGGGTGTTCCAAGGCTGTGGTGTTGCACACCTCTCCCCAGGGGGTGCAGTCTCTTTCCTCGGTGGCCCTGATCCAGAGCATATAGCAACAAAGACTGGGGTGTGACCCCCACCCACTGGGGTAGGTGAAAGTTACAGACCTCTTGTGGTCCCTAACAGGCCACAGAGGTTTAAATATGCCTGCTTTTCTTTCTTCTTTTAATGGAGAAAATGTCATGTGAAAGTCAGTAACAGAAATTGGATATTGGATTTCACAAATCCTTTTCCTGCTTTGCCCTCCTGACCCTGGTAAGTCACTTAAACTCGTAATGTCCTTCTGTTTCGCAATACTCCTCTATAAGAGACCTGCCCCGGGGATGCAGCTCAGCTCCTGGACTTATTTCTCACATGCTGGGAGGGTTGGGATGTCTTTGCACCAACAATAAAGGCATAGGTTTGACAGGACTTAAATTCTCTCCCTTCAGCTGCAGACACTGTGGAAAACCTTGTGAGCCCAAGCAGCAAACAATACTAGTGTAAATACATGTGCTGTTAAGTATTTTATAGAAAGCTTTAATGTATTTCAAATATGCATAGTAGCAGAGTTTTTGTACATTGGCTGAGCTCAGATTCAGGCTAAAACCCAAAGGGGAGACTTTGCTATTGAGAAGACGGTAATAAGCATGACTCACCAGACAACGGGACTCCATGAAAGTAGATGTCATTGTTGAAGAAGATCAAACCAGTCACTGCAGTGTGTCCCTCCATTAAAGTTGACCAGTTGGGGTGTTCACACATAACCTCCTACACAGTAGTGGTACTAGACCAGCCACAGCTGCACACAGAGTAGACACATCTCACACACATGTTGGTGAGCCCTGGAAGTTGGGCACACAAAAAAAGTGCATTCTGTGTGATCCTATTAACATGAAGTTCAAAAACCAGCAAGGGTCATCTGGGTTGCTAGAAGTCAGGGTGACGGTTCCCCTTGAGGGAAGGATTGTGACTGGAGGAGGGAGTGAGAAGAGAGCTGCGTTGGTCGGGAAGTGTCCTGTCACTTACATCTAGATGCCGGTCACACAGGTGTGTTCCTTATGTGAAATTCGTTAGGCTGTGTGATGCTGTTTTCTTGCACACACTTCAATTAAAAAAATAATTAAGTCATCAAAATTAGTCATCACAGTTGCTTCTCAGCATTTTTCCTGGGCTTGGCAGCATGCCAGAGATAATAAGGGACTGCAGAGGACAATGAGATACTGTCTGTGACCTCATAACCTTCTAGAATTTTAGTCCTATCTTCTTCTAGCCCTAGCTCCAGTCAGATCCCTTGGTTTTGTCCTTCAGCAGCATTTGCTCAACCCATATCAAGCACGTGGCTCCAAACACAGTCGGCAAAGGTCAAGCCTCATCTGATAGACTTGAGAGCACTTTAAGGTCACTGGAAGAACACCTCCTCATCAAATAATTTCTCTATGCCAGGGAAGCAGTGAATGGAAAAGAAACCAAGGCTGTCCAAATTTTCTGCTAAGCAGAGATTTGTTTTGCAAAGAAAAGGCTCTTCTGTAATGTTTAGAAATTAGTCAGATCAGATCCCTCTAGCTAGAGTTTTCATCAAGGCATGCTAATGAGTTTATTTAAAGAAAAGGGCATTACCTGCAGTCAATTTATTATTCTTTTTTTATGGTGGTGCTCTTATCGTTATATATATTTATTTATTTTAACTTTTACTTCTCATTATACCCTTCAGGCTTTATTGGTCCTTTAAAGGGACTCTGTTCTGTGAACTAATTATGACAAGTGTGGATGCAACATCTGTTCCCAGATTTAAACACCTTCTAGTCTGTCAGAGTTCATCTTGAAGGCAAGTTAGCTGTAAACATTAGTTTGCAAATTAACGCAGCCTCTGGGAGACCTGAGGCAGGAGCTACAACTCCAAGATGGTGCCAATGCAGCAAGTCCCACTCTGTCTATGCATTAACCTGAAGGAGCTGCAGCTCCACACACTAGTGAGCAAGCGCTCATCATCTTCCTGGTTCTAAATCATTTCATTCTTGATCATTCACAATCAATCAGTTATGCACATGGGTTTCATGGTGAGCATTGGCTGGTTGGATGTAGTCTGTGATATTTGCCAGCAAAGATGTTTGAGGGATTCAAGTTCCTCTAAAGGCAATATTCTCAGGGTTCTTTCCCCAAAAAAAGTTCAAATCAAGTTTCCCTTTGCTTCTCTGATACAAAGCAGTGTTAGGACTTTAGCACCTCGATTGATTATGATGACTTAATTTTTTTTGGTTTTGGCACCTTCTAATCCAGGATCTTTTCTTGGGAGGTTACCATGAGACCAGTAAGTTGAGACTGTCAGACGTGGACAACAGTCTGAGTTAACAACCCTTGCTTTTACTAGTCTTCTCTCTCAACCACTAGCCTTACCTCCTCAGCAACAGCTTCCTTCGAGGAAAATGGGTGTTACAAGATGTAATTCTAGCAGAATATGATGGTAACTTTGGGGTGTGATGCAAATGTTTGCTCTTGGTCATCATTATATTTAAGAAAGTAAGTAAGTTGTCCTTGAATAGTCTTTAGAAGTAAATTTCAGGTAGGCAATTCTTTTTTTTGTTGTTTTTTTGTCTCGTGTACTCACCAGAGAGCAGAGACAGACAGTGAGCATAAAAGTGAGAAATCATTCCCAGGGGTGATGGTGACACCACAGTCCTTTCTCCACTGTTCTCCACCTGGGATTTTGAGCTCGCAGGCACATGTGCCTAGCGTGATTGCCAAGCCATCAGGTCCAGGTTTCAAACTGTGGTCAGCCATGCGGGAGTTCAGTGCCTTTACCGCCATGCTACCTGCTGGCTGCTTAGGTTGGTAATTCTAAGAGGCAACTGACTTGTACTTGGTCTAGGGCACAGTTTCTCAACTGTGACATTGTTGACATTCGGGGCCAGATAATTCTGTGTCAGAGGGGTTGTCCAGTGCATTGTACAATGTTAGTAATATCCCTGTCAACCATTAGGTTCCCTTTGCCCACACACACAGCCTGACAGTCACAATGTGTCCAGACCATGCCTGTATTTCTAGTGGGGCAAAGTCACCCTTGGTTAGGAACCACTGGTCTAGACTTACACCACATTTCTTAAACAATTCTACTGCTCCATTGTTACACCAAGTCCAGAATTATTCTGTTTAATTTCCAAATGTGTTGCTAGATTGTTTATTTTTTTTTAATGAACTAGGACAGTAACGAAGGTTTAGGTCTAATGCCTTCTCTCCACCCTACTTTCTCACCTACAACACGTTTACTATTCTTGTGTCTCCTTTCCTTTGATACATCTCTCTAACATCTCAGAGCCTTGGCTCAGACATGCTTTGCCTTCTCCATGCCAAAAAAAAGGCAGAGAATGTTGTGACAAGTACGTGCAGCCTGGGGATGGAGAGAGCAAGCAGTCTAAAGCGATTAATCTCAGTAAGAATTGCTTTTTGTTGGTAATTACAGGATTTGCAAGACGATCTGTAAATATCTGTGCTTGCAATGACCCTCTTGTTTCTTGTATTTCCTTTCCTTTATTTTATAAGAAGGATTCAAAGCATATACTGACTGCAATTTTAAAATGCCAATAAGCAGCATGTTTAACAGATGGCCAGCCTATTTTTTTTTTTTAAATCGTCTTTCTATTTAATGAGTAACTTGTGGGGAGGGAATGACTTTTTCAAAATAGGGTATTAACTAATGACACTGATGCTGAAAAGCAGATCCCCGTGCCGGGCAGCATTGGCATTTCTTGGGGCATTGTCTGCTGATGGACCCAGGGCAGGTGGTTGTGAATCAAGGCCCTGAGCTGAAGACGTTTCTCCCCTGTGTTTGCATTTCATGGCTCTTGTTTCCTTGGGTTGGTCTGATGCTGGCTAAGACAGTAGAGAATTGCTTGGCAGCTCCAACAAGTGGACGGGAATTTGTTTCTGGACATTTCTTGTCCTGTCTTTGACTCCCGCCAACAGTGTCTTGACCATGTTCTTAACTCTTGTCTCTCCCTCAGAAATACCTCAGGGACTTTTTCAGCGTGATGCTCCAATCTGCAACATCGCCCCTTCACATCAACAAGGTGGGGCTGACTCTCTCGAAACACACCATTTGTGAGTTCTCGCCGTTCTTCAAGAAAGGAGTCTTTGACTATAGCAGCCACGGAACCGGGTAGAGCCAGGGGAGATGGAGGAACCACCATGCAGTGCCTTTTCAACGTGGGCCTCCGATGCAGGGCAGCCTCCTACACACCGGGCTCGGCCTGCCTCCCCCAAAGAGGGCAGACAGGCAGCAGCTGACTGGACCGCCTCACGTTTTCCCACCTGGTGCCTGAGTTTGGGAATGGGATGCTGTGCCTGCTGGTGGCGACCCCGATGGGCAGCTGCTACTGTTCCTTTACAGTTGAATGTGGCCTTTCCCATAGTGCTTCCTTCTCATCGCACGGCGGAGTTGCTCCCCTGTGGCAAGATGGGTGTGGCTTGATTATTTGGGGCTCCTAAAGTCAAGTGACCCCCGAAGTTCCCAAAGTGGGTGGCTCACCAGACCACCTTCACTGACTTTCATCTGGTGTGCTTTCACCAAAATACACTCATTTTTTAATATTCCTTCCATGTGGCTGGTTGTATCTCCCAAGAAAAGCATCTGAAATTATTTCACTGTATTTTTTTTCTTTTGTTCTCTCATTTGAATCAGAACTCTTCTGTAACAACTGAAAACACTGATGTTTACACAGAATTTCATATTCTGCAAAAGGGATTTTTGGTCCAATCACTAGAGTCTTCCATGCTTGACACATTGGATGTAGGTGGCATCATTTAAAACCTCTATAAGTCCCTACAAATAGCATATTTGTTTAACTTTGAATATTGAGAAATTTTCCCCAATGTAAATGGCTACTGTGCATTCTCGAGCTGCTTTTGCTAAGCACAAAATAAGCGCAAAGCTGAATGCAGATTTTTAAAATATTGTTTTGTTCACCTTTTTGTTATGGAATCTACTGGATCTTTAGTTGAAAAACTAGACTCTACAATAGTTTGTTAATGATCCCTTAAAATACTCAGGACTTAATGTAGCATTGCACATCTATGTACAGTAAAACTGTTTTGTTTTACTAAAGAAAAAAAGTAAGTAGAAAAAATATATATATGGTATATATTGAAATGTATATAATTCTACTTATAGATTTATATATGAACAGACTCCTGTACAGTAGTTGTATCAAAATATATAATCATTCACACCAAATTTATTAAAGGTATTTGCTTTTTCAAAATTTAAATTAAGCTGCTGTCAATATTAAAGGAAGTTATGGAATCTACCCTGTAGCTCAGTTTGTTTACGTTCATACCCATTCCCACTAGTCTGTTTGAATATTGAGCTACCATGCTTAGAAAGACACATGATGTATAATTTAGCATTTTTGTTACAGAAGATGCCTTTATAGTAATGATTGAAGTTGCAAATGAATGGGTAACAAACAGGTTTACATTCAGTCTTCTAGAATATGCTTGCACAACAGAGCTCTCTAGCCTGAAAAATATGTTTAAAGATGCAATTTCCCCTATAAGAACAAAAAGTATTATTGCACTAATTAAATATCATAGTTTAGCATTTTAAAAAGACCTTTTTTTTTCTTTTTAATTGCTGCACAAAGCTTCCTGCTTGTTTCTACAGTTGTGATTACAGGCATAGTTTAGCAGCAATTAATACTAGAGAATTTAAAAGTAGAGATTAAAGGATAAAAGCTGGGGAGATCATAATTAACCATAGGTCATTTATTTAAAAGAAGTCTGAGCACTAAGGATTGTCCCTCACATACTGAGTAAACTAAATGGTTTTCTTCAACTGACCAGATAATTTATCTCTTCCCCTTTTGGACCTTTATGAGAGACTGGGCTCATGGCAAGCGTTTGGTTCAAATCACACAGGATTCCTGACAAGAACAAATAGATTTGTAAAAAAGTGCAGGAATCAGAAGATCTTTGGTTTCCAAGGCTTCTCTTAAGTAATTTTAACTGGGTTTGGAGTTTGAGCACTAGCTAGAGACTGCCAAGACCTAAGTGAGTACTTTGGCCTCTCTGGGCCTTGGTCTCCCCATCTGAAAACAAAGCTGTCATATTGGATGACCTCTAGGTTCCATCCTAGCCCACGGTTAAGGCAGAGAAATGAACTGCATTGGACCAGATACAGTCCCTAGCTACATATGTACTACTAATCTGACCCAGAGGCTGCTGAATCTGAATAAAACATGAGGGAGAATTGAAAAGTCACATCTAAACAAATAACGGAATTGCTTTTTGGAACGAAGATAAGACAGATAAGCCAGAGTTGGGATGATGAAGTGGAAACTTGGCTGATTTGGACCTTGTAGGTCCGGTTACTGCTGCACCCCTTCCTGGCCTCTCCGAGTTGAGCTTTTAAAGAAGAGATTTATTTTTCTTGGATACCTCTCCCTCAGCACACCATCATGTGACGCCTTCCTCCCCATCCTCTCATGTGCTCTCAGAGATGGTGAGCAGGGTTCTATTCTGAGGTGGCCTCACTCTTTCAATGAGAATCGAGCAGCAGTTCAAACCTGACATGGCCACAGTACTCAGTCGGTCTGTTTCAGACAGTGCTGTTAGGTGTTCAAGTACTGCGGTCTCACTCTCTCCTACGACTGTGCAGCATGTCACCTTGAGGCATCCTTAGTGGACAGCTGGGCACTCCTGCCACATGACAGCTCTTCCTCTTGTACCCTCACACATACCCACAGGGGGGAATATGTCACACTTTATGGGAAAAGTCCTTTTTTAAAAAAAAAAAATTTCAGGTAAAAGACGAGTATGAAAATGTAACTCCATGTCAAAACTAACTGCTTTAATTTTATTCGAATTATCATGACAGTGATTTACATTTTGAGGAAACTAATTAAAGGACTTTAATTGACAAAGACTTTCTTGACAAAGTAGGACTTATTCCTCCATTTAGTGACAGGATCTTTTATACGTTTTTTTATTAATAAGAGGGGGAGAGGGGCCAGCTGGTGGCTTAGTGACTGAAGCACTGGGCTCCCACATGGCCAACCACAGTTCAAGCCCTGTACCGCATGGCTTAAAAATCACACCAGGTGCATGTGCATGTGTGCCCAAAATCTAGAGAGGAGAATGGAGGAGAAAGGATTGTGGTGTGACAATACCACCACCACCGCCCCCCTGGGAGGGGGCGATTTCTCTCTCTCTCTCTCTCTCTCTCTCTCTCTCTCTCTCTCCCACACACGCACACACCTCTCTCTCTCTCTCTCTCTGTCTCTCCAACACATGCACACACTCTAAGTCTTAAATCTTAAATAAAATAAGAGAGGGACAAAGAGTACCCTCCACAAGTCTCAACACTGCAATCTAGCCCAGCCTTAGCCAGCCGGATCAGTGTTCTCAGCAAGATCTCAGGATTTGAACCGGGAACCTTGCCATGTGGACTTGTCTCCCAGTGTTACATTTTACCTCTGTATGACTGTCTGACCCAGTGACAGGCTCTTTCAAAATGCAAGAAGAGGACCTGGTTATTAACTTGTTTTGTTTTGTTTTTCTTGTTGAAATTACTTTTTCATTACATGGGAAATGACTCTGTGGTACACAGTTTTGAAGTTCACACATTGGGAATTATTTCCAAGTTGAAAACAGCTACCCATTATTATAATTTTCTCAAGCATCCTATGTCAAATTGAACCCACTGTGGTGCCTGGGAGTTAGAGTGATGTTGAAATTGGCCAGGTTGTTACCTTCAGAATAACTATTTGGAGATCCAGTAGAACACTAATGGATTCTTTTGGAATCCAAAAGGCAACTGACTGAGCTGAAGGGACTCAGGGATGTGAGTCCATCTTGTCACCTACAGAAAGTACTTATGTGAGCTCACCTCCGTGAACCTCCAGGCTCTAGCTCTGGCACTGTGTCCTGAGGTTACCTCATACCCTTCTAGAAGGCTCAACTCTCTGTGCATCTCTTGCAAAATAACTAAATCCAAAATGTCCTTTCTCTGGCCATCCCAATTTAGTACCTATTCTATCTGAAAATCAAACAACATTCATTTTTTTCCCTAGGGATTGCCTCTCCAGACACTGACTTCTGTGGGAATTTGAGGTTGTTAGTTTTGCTCCTTCTTTCTTGCTGAAAAGGCAGAATCCTCCTGTTCAAAGATGGCCAAATGAATATGTTTGTAAAAAGGTTCACATGCCATCTCTCTTTAAGAACTGAAAATGGGAGGATAGACAAATAGCGGTGTTAAAAGTGACTAGATTTTCACATGACTGACCCTGGTTCAAGTCCCAGTACTTGGTGGCTTGAAAATCATGCTGGGCATGTGTGCATGCACACCCAAAATCTAGAGAGGAGAATGAAGGAGAGGGGATTATGTCATGGCCATACCCCCTGGGGAATGACTTTCACTTTCTCTCTCTCTGTCTCTCTGTTCTCCAGCAAGTGCACACACCCCGGGGGAGGGGGGGCGGGGGGGCTCTGAAAATGAGCAAATACACTAGGTTCAAAATTGGAAGTGCATAAATAAAAATGCAAAAAGGCCAATGGAATTAGAATTATGAAACTATAATGGTCAGGCAGGTCACCAAAAAAGAGAGAAATCTTACTCTGGAATTTAAATTTGGAAAAAACACATTCATGAAAAATATAGTTAATTATCTTCGCTGCTTGAAAGCAGAGTTGTTTTCCACAAAGTGTCACGAATCCTTATGCAGTTATTTGCAGAAGTGTTTGCGTCTTTCTAGCAGCACTTATAGTCGTGCCTGAGAGCATCTCAGTAATGAACAGCCTGAGGGTTTGTTATTCCTGAAACTATCCCATCGTTCCTTCTCCATCTTGTGGAAAGGAGGAAGGATGGAAAGAAGAAGGGAAGAAGGAAAGAGGAAGGAGAGGGAGAGAGGGAAGAAGAGCTCCATCATATCTTTTAAAGCTGTCGGAATTATCTCAAAAGAAAAAAATCACAATGAATAATAATAAGTTTGTGATCATTAAGAGTGTTTGTTGGCATCGTTTTCCTTTTTTTTTTTCTGTTTTTGTTTTAGAGGAGTGTTTGCCTTTTTGTTTTTGCTTTGGTTTTGTTTTTGTACTTTGGTGGATTTTTGAACTCTGTGCTTCTGAAAACAGAAATTAAAAATCATGAAAAAGGAGAGGAGAGGCCTGCCAGCAAACATGATGTTTTTGGTGTGATGTTTTAAGTTGATTTCAATGACTATTGTAAGAAAAGGTGATCTACAGAGCATGCGAGCCTCTAGTGCAGAGTAATCGAAATACTAGCTGTTTATCCGTTACCAGTGGATGGAAAAGGTCATGTTTACATTCATGGAGGGTCTCCAGTGCGTTCTGATATACGAGCAGCAGACTTGGGGCGACTGTGTGTACCAATGATTTAGCAAAGAGCTCCTGGTCCAAGAGTGCAGTGCTCCCTTGAGGGTTGGGGGTGTGGAGTGTTCCTTGGTGACTTCTTACTTGCCGTGCTTGGTGTCTCTTGGACACGTTGCCCTGTGTGCAGCTCTGCTCAAAAATATGGGTGCCAGCCTGGGCCTGGTCTCCAACAAAGGCCACCTCAGCACACAGTGCATGTCATTCCCTTCCCTGCCTTCTACCTCATGGGCCCCTATCTCACTCTACCCTTGGAGGGCTGAGGGAAGGGAAGAAGAAGCATAGCTTTGGAAGTTGACCTCAGAAAGCTCATAAGGTATGAGTGACACTTGTCCACCTGTATAAATTCATGTCATGGCTACCTGCATGGCTCCCTTCTTGAGGTGGGGATGGTGAAGGGTCACACTAAACTCTATCCATTCCTACAGCTCCACTGGCCACACACTTAGTGGGAAGATCTCACTTAGAGGGCAGGGGTCATCCCGGCTGTGCTCTCCTGATTGCTTGGTAGAGAGCCAGTCTGCCCACTGTTGGTGCCATGCAGGTCACTATTCAGTCACTCCATATAAGTCCATGAGCATCCTTCATGTCCCTACATGCAGTCATACATCCTCCTTTGTGTTGCTCGGTCCACTCAGTCTCATCGGTACCAGCATTGTTCTGGAGAGCATGTCATGGCAAGTGTATGATGGGAAGTCAAGGGGACTGGAGAGTGCATGCTGAAGAAATGGTCTAATCTGAGAGGCTTGGAGATGTCCTTGAGGTAAGAACTGAGAGATAAGAAGTGGGTGCTGAGGGTGGCAGAGAAAGTTCCCCACATTGAAGAGAAACCTAAAACCTGGAAATTGCCCATCATGGTTACACCATGAAGAGAACAAGGAGGGTGAGTGATTGGAGAGGGAGGCAAGGACCAGATAAAAGGGCAGCAGAAAGGTTGCTGGCCAGCATTTTGTAAATGGGATCATGTTTTCTCAGCAGCTATGACCATTCCAGAAGGATCTTCCTGGGGGAAAAAAGGTAAGAGCACGTGACAAACTGGGTTTGTCCTTAAAGTCACATGTAATAGAGAGAAACATGTTTCCTAATTAAATATCAACACCAGTGTACAAGATCAGGCCTGAGATGTCCCTAGAGGGCCATCCTGTGCCATCCAGG